TGCCTCTATGTCCAGAGCCACAAAGTTCTGTTTCAGCTTGACATTCTCTTCCCTCAGCTCATGGAACCCTCCAATAGAGTCCAAATTGATCTTTTGTTGGGCCATATGTAAGGCAAGCAGGGATTGCATGAGAAAAGAAACAAGAGTTAACCTCAATTTTCCAAAAAATCATAAAATGTAAGAAAATTAGCTGATATTGGGAAGTCCTTGACAAGAACGAGCTGTTTTACCCGGCTTTGCATTTGAAGCATTGTAGCCATCAGGTCCGCGGGTCGGGAAGCCACGAACTCCTCAAAGGTCGCAGCCAGTTGACACTCTAGTAGGGTATACACTACCAGCTGCAGGTGTTCCGGGGGTTGCCCCATGGAATCCAGCATAGGTGTGTCTACCCCCGGAGGAACTGACATCTCGTCGACCAGTTGTTTGCTCACTCTCCTTCGGGCAACCACAGCCTCCCCTTTTCCTGTGCGCGAGCTCTCGGGGACACCGAAATGCCGTGCGCCTTGGGGGTACCCTCGAGCGGAAAGCCTGGTAAGGCTGCGATCCTCTAGGCTGCACCCTTAAGCCCTTTGACTCGGACTCTGATTCTTCAGCTTGCAGCTGCTTTCTTTTCTTAGTTTTCTGGCCCATGGTTTTCTGCTTAGCGGCGCGAGCAACCGTGGGCCGAGAAGCTTCCCCATGTTGCTATGTGGGTGTTCGCACACCAATTTGTATCCCTCCCGTGGGGATATCGCTAGGGATCGCTTCAGTTAGCTCAGTCGGGGAGACCTAGGGAAATACGAACCCCCTTGTCCTCGTCATCGGCTTTGGAACCTTGGGTGACATAGTCGCTGCACGCCATGAAAGCATGTTAGCGAAAAGGTTACCACAGATAGAAGAAAAAGGTTCTAAGTGTGAGGATACTTACAGACTAAGGGTTCCAGAGATGCTTTCGGATTAAAAAAATTGTACTTCTTTAGGTTGACCGTAGTCACGAGCAGTTTCGTGTTGCGACTCTACTCAGGTAGATTACCGAATGCCACAATTCGATTAAAATCTGTCAGAGCCGTCAATCTGGTCGTCTTATTTCCTACAATGAGACGAAAAAGTTCGTTAGAAACAAAAACTGAAGGAAAAGGAACAGTTCGCAAATTGAAAGAAAGGAAAACCTACTCGGCTCCCTAAACTGGTAGACGCCATCATACTCAAAAAAGAAAAATTTTGTTTCATAAGCCCCGACGTTACTAGGGTAACCAAATATTCCTCCCTCAATCGTGGATCGTTTTGAAACATAAAAAGAATCTTTATCTTTGCTCTTCTTTAGATAGTAAGCGTATGCGAGCTCTAGCGCTGTCAACTCGCCAAGACCATTTTCGCCACATGCGATATACATAGCAACAGCTATCATATACGCATTAGGCGTCAATTGCAATGGCGCGACCTCGAAGTGGTTGAGGATCGATCTAATGAAGGTGTGAAAAGGTATCAAAGCCCCACATTTAAAGATCGCTTCAGAAATCGCGGTCATTCCCTCTAGGGGATTCCGAGCTGTATATGTCCTATACTGGTAGACATCCACGCTAAGCACGTACTGGTCCACTGCTTTCTATATCTCATCCCGAGTGGCCACTGACAATGTCTCTTGCACAGGACCCGCTAGGGCACTTGATGCTTGCGAGCTCGTCCCCTCGGTTGCTCTGGTTGTTGAGGCATCCATTGCTTCTAAAGTCTGAAAAAGGGGCGACATGTAAAAATAACTCAGTCTCCGTACAGTGTTTCGTATGATGACGTGGAAGAGAAAAAGAAACCCTAATATGCCTTCTTTAACCCCTAGAAAAATCCTAAAAACCCTTGGGAATGAATCCCCAAGGATTCGTGCCCTAAGTTCTCACTCTTTATGAAGGAAAAAGCTCTCTTCTCACCACTGTCCGAAAATACGCACCATAAAGGATTGCCAGACAGTTCATATCCACCATTATCGCAAGAGTCAAACAATCAGCAAATTAATAAAAGAAAACGAAGGAGAAATCCTTCTTATCTCTTGGCTACTGGGAATGAACTTTCTATCGTAATAGAGAGTGCGCATCAACTGGAAGAAGGGCAGACTAATTTTATGAGAGTTTTGTTTTTCCTTCTGAAAATATGAGTTCTATGACAAAACTTGAAGCGAGCCCAAGATTTTATAGGGGAAAATGACGATTGGTTTCCCTAGGCAAGTGATGCTTGGGCGGGATACGTTTCTCGCCATTGATTGAGACCACGTGTCGTTAATCCGTGAGAAGAAGTAACCTCCATGCTTCGTGAATGCTAATCGATGCTTCCCTCCATTGGATCAACCAAGCGTTAGCGCGGTTATCTCCACCATATTAAATGCGCCCTCATCCACATTTAATGCTCTGAAAAGGAATGTCGTTTCAGCATGGCTTGCATTTAATGCGCATGGTTGACACTTATTGCCAATAGACACGTCTGTCAAAATAAAGATTATTTTATTGACCAGACTAGCTGTCAAGCGCAACGGATAACATCTGAAAAGGTCGTTCGAGTAAAACACTCTTCGTCATGTATTGGTTTCAAGACAATGTAACTCCTTGCTTTCTGTGAAAATGTGCTAAGTATTCTCAGGTCGCGAGCTGCGGATGAGATTCAAAGCATGTCGGTATGGCATTGGGTAGGGTTTGACCCAGGTCGTTGAACCTATGGGAGAAGGCCACCTCAAGTTACGTGTACTATTCTTAGAGGTATATGCTGCGACGTCCTTGCAGCTCTATCAGCTCGACCAAATGTCATTTGGAACAAGTCAAGTCGTGGCATAGTCATGAAGTTCTTAAGGTTCAATCTTTAAACCTTAAAAACTGGGGGGCTTCTGTTATGCCTAAAAAGTCAGGGTTGATGTGGACTCTCGTCAGCAAAAGCCAATCAGAATTCAAGGAGACTTTGTGCCGTCTAGACGTTGCCACGTAGCACAATGACGGAAGAGGTATGGTTCTCGTTAGTGCAGCAGGTGAATGCTAGGCTTGCGAGTGGCTAGGAATCGTCCACCTGCCCAAGCCGTACGCAATTTAAGGATATCTCTCGTGCAGACAACCAATGGGAAATGGGTTAGGAATTGTACCCCACCTGTCGGATTGTAGGCTCATGATTATTACCTTGAATCCTCCCACTATAAATAGAGGGCTTCTCTCTCATTTGCGGGATTGGCTTATCTTTAGTCCTAAACAGCACACACACACACACACACACACACACACTCTCTCTCTCTCTCTCTCTCTCTCTCTCTCTCTCTCTCTCAACTTTCTATCTAGATTGTAACTTAGCTCGCGACATGCGACCTGACTGTAACAATCTATTAATACAATTACAATGGACGTAGGAATCGCTTTTGAGCATCCGAACCACTTTAAAAACTGTCTTTTATTTACTCTCTTGCTACATATTTCCATATCATGTGTAACTTCTAAGCCCGCTTAGCATTTTGCACATGTAAGTCGTTGGTGTCAAAATCAAGCATCAACACTTTTGAACCTCTCTCAATTTCTTCAATGCTTTCAACGGTTTCCCTCTTTTAGGTTCCTCTAAATTTCCTGACCTCTCCATCTTCCTCTTTTTTCTTGACCGTAAAGCATCAAAAGATTCAGTACAAGACTCTTTAGACTTTGTATTTTGATAAGAAAAAAAAACTTCTTTAAGAACTCCTTCATCCATGCAAGCCTTGCAGACTGTTTTAAGCGAGTAATAAACTTTCCCTCTCCATGACTTTTGTTTTAATTTAAACTATGGACGGTGGACGCCTATCCATTTAGTATGGACGCTTGTCCATTGAATATGGATGGGAGTCCATGATAGTCCATGATTTTTGTTTTCAAATTTTTTTAATTTAAACTATGGATGAACGTCCATTATAGATGAACGCCTATCTATAATAAATGGACTCCCATCCTTATAATATGGATAGGAGTCTATTGTTATTTTTGCATAGACGAGAATTCATTTAAAATGAACGGCCGTCCAATATTTGATGGACAGTCATTCATTCGCGGAATATTTATTAATATGCTACGTGACTCGTCTGACTCAGTTGATACGTCGTTCGGTGTAAAACGTCGATGTCTATAGCATTATTGACTAAAAAAATATCTACCTCCTTCCTATTACCAACAAAACAATGTGTGATTCGGTTTTAAGTTAAACCATACAAAAATTACTGAACAATATCCACATTTGTTTTTCTATTTCCTTCACTTTATTCCTCCACCCTTTTGTCGGTGGTTTTAGTTTTACTACTTATCATATTAATTAATAATAATTAATTCTGATTTACTATCATCCATTCATTTAAAGTTAAGAGATAACATCATTAACAACAGATTAATCTACTAAGTTTATGATAAGATATTAAAATTGTTCATTTTTTTGTCTAATGCAACCGTATTTGGCTGATTAATATAAATATAAATGCACTTAGAATTTAGAAACGATAAAATGAGTTAATGGATAATAATGTTAAGAGAGAAAAGACACCCAAAAAAAAAAAAAAAGGAAACATTCCAAAGATTTAGCATGCCAAATAAATTACTAATTACTTCCCAAAAACATGCCTATACGATACAGTTACAATTTTACAAACACTCTCCATGTTCTACAGTTATAGGGACCAAACTGAACACACTATAACTTTCATCTTACGTACTTCTCCAAACACATTAAACTCCATCACAACCGTCCGTTTCTCCCGATTATCGCGCTAGTAGTCACATGCCACATGGACGTGTGGCCCCACACCCAACTTTCGATGTTTCAACATCTCAAAGTTATTTATTTAATCTTTACCGAAGTGTGGGTCCCACACTTAGCGCATTACGCACTCCTCAGCTGTTTAGCAAATGCGGCACCGTATAAATACACTTATTTTAAGAATATAAAAAGTGGACAGAAAAAAGAAAACGACACCGATATTTTCAACCAGCGTTTCGTGTGTCTGCGTATAAAATAATATTATTGTTTATTATTATATTGTAAATTAAGAAAAAAAAAATTTCAAAAAGAAATGAAAATCTAAAGGAGAGAGAAATAGAAGAGAGACGGTGATCTATTTAGTAGTTGGTGATGGCCATTTCTCTGTAAAAAGAAGCGAAAGTCAGAAAGGCTCCATTCTGAGCAAGCGTTTATTTTAATTAATTTTATTTTTGATTTTATGATATTAGTTTTCTTGTTCTTGATGATGACAATGAATCTAGGTTTTTCAGATATTCATTGACACGATTCATTTCCATTTTGGATCCGTCAAGGGTATATTATCTTTCCTGGTGTATCATTGCTTAGTTGATCAGGGAAAGAGAAAGATCTTCAACGCCATTGGTACGTGATCTCGTATTTGCCGGATTTATTCTTATTCTTGTATTTTTTCAATTAAAATAATGTAGTGTTTGTTTGCTTTGAGATTTGGATCGAGCTTACATTAGCTGATAAAAAAAATTTCTTGTTTCTGAATTTGCTTTTTACTGTTCGTTTTTACTAAACTAGGCCACTGCTAGTGCTGTCGAGTGACTTTGTAATTGCAATTTATGTTTAGTTGGTTGGACTTTGTATAGCGAAGGAATATACGATGTAGAGAAAAAAGAAAGAAGTGCTGAAGCTCAAATCTACTGATCTGCTCCTCAGTTTTCATTTTCAATGTGTTTTTAACATTTTATTTAATGGATTTAATTGCTTTAAAGAACTCTAAGCTAGTTGTGTTTGTTATATGTGTATGAATCTTCAAGTAGTTTCTGCTCCTTATATTTGTATTAAACTTCGTTAAGATCACATAATTTGTTGCTTTTTATGTATGGATATGTACTTTTTCTTCTTTTTGTTTTAACGAAAAATAATTTTTTTCCATGCATAACTGCTTTTGGTGGAAATCGACAGGTCCATCATGGCATTGAAAACAAATTCGTCTGATGGCAGAACTAGGAGTTCCGTACAAATATTTATTGTGGCTGGGTTGTGTTGTTTCTTCTATATTTTGGGTGCGTGGCAAAGAAGTGGATTTGGGAAGGGAGATAGTATAGCTTTAGAAATTTCTAAGAGTGGGGCAGATTGCAATATTGTCCCAAATTTAAATTTTGAGACCCACCATGGTGGTGAAGTGGAGACCATTGATGAATCTGAATCCAAACCAAAAGTTTTTGAGCCATGTAGTTCGAAATACACTGATTATACACCCTGCCAAGATCAAAGGCGTGCAATGACTTTTCCCAGGGAAAGCATGAATTATAGAGAGAGACATTGTCCTCCTGAGAATGAAAAGTTACACTGTCTTATACCGGCACCTAAGGGATACGTGACACCATTTCCTTGGCCAAAAAGTCGTGACTATGTACCATATGCAAATGCTCCATATAAGAGTTTGACAGTTGAGAAGGCTATTCAGAATTGGATTCAATACGAGGGCAATGTCTTTAGGTTTCCCGGTGGAGGAACACAGTTCCCGCAAGGGGCTGATAAATATATTGATCAGCTTGCATCGGTGATACCAATTAAGAACGGGACAGTTAGAACCGCCCTGGACACTGGTTGTGGGGTATGCTAACTTCCTCAACATTTTTTCTCAATTTGTATTCCATCTATCTTTTGTAAAACCAGAATCAGGTTGCATTTGTATCTGTTTTGCTTAGATCTTCTACTTACAATGGGTATTTTTGTGTAGGTTGCAAGTTGGGGTGCATACCTTTGGAGTAGAAATGTTATTGCCATGTCATTTGCTCCAAGAGATTCACATGAAGCTCAGGTCCAATTTGCTCTTGAAAGGGGTGTGCCTGCTGTTATTGGTGTTCTTGGTACCATAAAGACTCCATATCCCTCAAGAGCCTTTGACATGGCTCATTGTTCTCGATGTTTGATTCCATGGGGAGGAAATGGTAAGTATCATTGTTAAATATAATTATTTTTGGCGTGCTTGGAGCGAGCAATTAGTCTTTGCCATTTAATTTCATTTTTGTTTTTTTGCATTCTATTATTGCTACAAGTTGTGATAGCAGCAATTGGAGGTGATTGGATCGTGGAATTTTCTATTTGCAGGTGGAAGATATATGATGGAAGTGGACCGTGTCCTTAGACCTGGTGGTTATTGGGTTCTTTCGGGTCCTCCAATCAATTGGAAGGTCAATTACAAAGCATGGCAGCGTTCCAAGGATGATCTTCAGCAAGAACAAGAAAAGATTGAGGAGATGGCTAAACTTCTTTGCTGGGAGAAGATATCAGAGAAAGGTGAAATTGCCATTTGGCAGAAAAAAGTAAATGGTGATTCATGTCGTGGTAGAGAAGATGATTCTCGAGTTACTTTTTGCAAATCTTCTGATGCAGATGATGTCTGGTATGGCGTTGCACTTAAAATTTCATATCATTAAAAAAGTTTGCTTGTTGACAGGGTTTATTTAAGATATATGCATTGATATAACTTAATGAAAACAGATTTTACCTGATTTTTAATAGTGTCAATTTTAAATGGCAACATGCGTGTATTGGAACAATATATTTTAAATTATAAAGTTAATTATTTTTGTAGTATAAATATGTAATCAGTTAAATGTGCAATTCAAATTTTGATGTAACTGGAATTAGTCTCAGTTAAGAATAAGATGGTTTTTTGAAAACTGAAACGAGGTTTATCTGGCAATGGTTTGGCACGGATTAACTTCAATTTGGCACATAGATAATTGTGTCCCATTCTAGGCTAAACAAATGATTTTTTGATAAATTTTTTATTTGATTTATCATCCTTTTATGGTGGTTTCTAGGTACAAGAAAATGGAGACTTGCATAACTCCATATCCTGATGTTGCTAGTGGAGAACTAAAGCCATTTCCAGAGAGGCTTTATGCCACTCCTCCTAGAATTGCTAGTGGATCTGTCCCTGGAGTTTCTGTTGAGTCATACCAAGAGGACAATGCCAAATGGAAGAAGCACATAAATTCTTATAAGAAAATCAACAGACTTATTGACTCTGGAAGGTATCGCAACATTATGGATATGAATGCTGGGTTTGGGGGATTCGCTGCAGCACTTCAATCTCCGAAACTGTGGGTTATGAATGTTGTGCCCACTATGGCTGAGAAAAATACGCTGGGTGTTATATATGAGCGAGGACTGATTGGCATCTATCATGACTGGTACGAATTTCTGAACTTTTGTTGACTCTTCTCTTATTGTGATGGGCAGCCTCTAGCATGGTTTTTTTGGCATTCAAATTATGGCTTTGCCAGAAGTATTAGTTCTTTTGTTTGAATATTTTTGCAATTTTTTGGAACGTAGAGCAAGTATTGTGAGATGTGAAACTTCTAGATTTTAAGAATCTCTTATATACTAACTTGTGAGTTCTGTAATTGTGTAATGAAAATTTTGCTAGTATACTTTAGTAACTTACCATAAAGTTATCCCTATATTGTTTTGGATTTTAAATCAACATTATGTGCGCATTGTGTGCTTGACCAGAGTCTGTTTCAATTATTCTGTTCATTTTTTTTTTTCCAACTTTTGATCTTTCGGTATTACCTTCCATCTCTTTGTTTAGGTGTGAAGCCTTCTCCACTTACCCAAGGACATATGACCTTGTTCATGCCAATGGGGTTTTCAGTCTGTACAAGGACAAGTAAGTATTCCTTCTTCAAATGTGGATGTGGTTCATTGTCATCGTTGATAGGCTCTATTAAATGTGTGTTTTCACCCTCGCATAAGTTTACTTCTTGCATGTGTGTTTGCCTGCTATTTTCATTGAGTTGTATGGGCTACAACTACAATACTGATAGGTGCTGCGTAATATAGAGGATTCATTCTTACTAATAGGTGCCTCATTGCTAATGAAGTGGATTTAAGGGACAGTAATGAGATTATTTTGAGTGCTTTCATGTATGGGTTACCATTAAGACTTCTGTTGTGCAACATTGAAAATTATAGTTCCCTGCTAAACCATTATAAGCCAACTGCTGGGCAGTTCAATTCCCCTATTTGTTGAACACAGACTGAACTCAGAAATACTTGTGGTCAATTGAACCTGGTCAAAGCTTGGGTCTTTATGAGCTTATGGATTCACTAATCATAATTTTGTGATCATGTTACAATCTAATATTTAGAATCTATGCATGTTCAGCCATGCATGAGTTATTCATTTTTGTCATATTAACTCAATGGTGAAGTGGCTTTATTCAACTTGTTGAGCTATTTTTTTGAAGCTATTCCAACAAATTCTTTCGAATTAAGTGACCAAGCTCTGAAACAAGCTTTAGCTTGTCTTGTTTGTCGGAAATCCTATATGTGTCTCAGTGAACTGAACCTGAGTATCTCTAGCTTTTTAGTGCTTTCTTGGAGTCAGAGTAAGCAGCTTAGACTCATTGGGAATGATCCTGCTGTATCTCAATGGTGTTACCCTCATTACTTTGTAGATGAGTGTCGTTTTTCTGTGCATACTTGACTTTTTTGTTTCTTTTTTCACGAGCTTGTCAACAGTAGACCTTGGCATTTGCTTTTTTAGGTTGGTCTGTATAATTTTAACTTTTAAATGCTAATTGAATGATCACAGATGTAATGTTGAGGACATTCTTCTGGAGATGGACCGGATTTTGCGACCAGAAGGTGCAGTCATAATCCGTGATGAAGTAGATGCGATAATCAAGGTGAAGAAGATTGTTGGAGGAATGAGGTGGGACACTAAAATGGTGGATCATGAAGATGGTCCTTTAGTTCCCGAAAAAATATTGGTTGCTGTCAAACAGTATTGGGTTGCTGGTGGAAATTCAACAGCCACAGAGTAAACGGCATATGCAAAAGGATAATATTGTGGAATGGTTCAAAGCCAGCAATGCTCGGTGTTTGCACGTTCTGACACGAATTGATTTTATTTCAGCCAAAGCATTTTTGCTGCACAACAAGTACTTAAGATATAGGAATGAGTATTAAACGGTGAATCTTTAAGTAATTATTGATTTGGCCCGTGTTCTTTTGTAGTAATTTATAAAACATACAGAGCTAAAAAATTGTGATAGTAAGGTTTATGTTATCATTCATTTTTGGTCAGTTTTATTTATTTATTTTTATTTTATTTTTAAATTAAATTAAATTTATTTTGTCTGAGCATGATTTGCAAATTCTCTCTTTTATTGGATTGTTGAAACCCTAAAATTCAATTTGAAGCTAGGCACGGATTCTGTGTTATTTATTTGTTAGATTTGTGGAAATCTATGCTGCACACTGCACATAACTATGGCCACTGGGTTTTCACTTTCTTTCCTGTGCCAACATCTTTGAGCCAAAAATCTGTGTTTAAGAATATCATCAGAGGTACGTTTTATGCATATAATTTCTGGTATAACCATTAAGGTAATAGTTTTGTGTGGAAAGTCTCAATTATAGTCTCGTCACTCTTTTTGTAGAGGAATGATGTCCTTAATATAGTTTTTAAGCAAATAATAAAGCATTTGAAATGAAAGAAAGTTGAAGGTAAGAAAAAGAAAGGAAAATGTGGAAGGATGATTGTGATACCGTAACTTTACCTGACAAGCATGGCCACCTGAAGTGTTTAAGGGAGAAGTTGGTCAGCGAAGTCACGGGTTATTATCATCTACCCCGATTAGGAAGTTTTAAACACACCCAAGGTTTTGAGAAAGCATTATGTACCTTTCTAGACTATCGTTTACCCTTTTTAAAATTACAATAGGGTGTACCGATACTTGCATTCACGGGAGGTTTTGAAGTCATTTTGGTTTGAGAACCTTTAGACATATGCATATAGGTATAATCAAGAATTTTGATTAAGAAGTCCCTTAAAATATTCATTTTTTTTTTCCGCTAACCTTGACTGAAAAGAAAATTTATTAGAAAAATTAAAAGAATTCTTCTAGACATGGGACATGAGAAACCTTAACCCTCATAAAATTTCTTACTAAAATAAAATTGAAGGTAATTTGTAGAAAACCCTTTGCTTTTCACAGATTGAATGACCCCTTGGTATCGAAAATACAACCGTAACCCACATTCCGTTAAATAATGTCATGAAAATCTATTATATATTGAAATGACCTTTTCACCCATGGTTCAACTTAAACCTTAAAAACAAAACCAGAGCTAGCTTGTAGCCACTAACATTGAGACCTCCAATGGCCTTATGGCATTGCTATAGACCTCCATGGTAGCTGCTGAAGACCTTAGGGGCCTCGTGTCAGCCACTAGAGACCTTACAACAATTGTGAAAGGTTATTGGAGGCCTTGCAGTTGTGAAAGGCCAGATTTTCGCCTCTTAACACTCCCTTGAGGCCTCTAGTAGTTGGCGATGCTATTGTAGGTTAGCTTGGCTTGACGGTGAAATGGAAGGAAGAAAGAGTGGAGAGAAAAAAAAAATAATAATAAAATAAAATGCAGGAAGGGAGAAAAAAATAAAAGGAAAAATGTTATATAAACTTAGGTTTTTTTTTTTTTTTTTTTTTAAATAATAAATCTGATAGGTAAAAAAATGCTCTTCTTAAAAAATAAACATAACACTATACCTGTCCATAAGATAAATTTAACCAAAAAAATGAATGAAATGGGGCTTAGGTTGCAAGTTCAATTTAACTAAAAAAATGAATGAAATGGGGCCTAGGTTGCAATTTCCCTTATCTCTCTTCTACCTCATTCTTTCCTGTCTCATCGATCTTCTTTTTCCTTAATCTTCCTTGCATACAAAATTATGAATACAAATAAAGTTTTGACTATATAAATGAGATCATTAGAGATAAAATGTGATAAGTGATCTAGGGTGCCGCATATGAAATACAACCCAAGTTACATTATTCAAGCGGCTATATATTCCGAACAGACGTATAGTCAAAATGTTTTCGATATATGCATAGTCATACAGTATATTTACAAAGTATGAATCTTGTAAAAATACAAAAAGAGATGGTCTTATCATTTGTGAGTATGAGATATTGGATATGGGTGAGATACCTATGATAGGACCCCGCCCGTTACGCAAAAGCAGTTAGTTACCTTGCTAACTGCACATGAAGAAAAAGAAAAAGAGAATTAGTTTTTCATCTCTGGTTTTGCAATTTGGAGGATTTAGATTGGGAATTTTTTGTGCAACGCTGTACTTCAAGTTGGGTCTACAAAATGTATTTATGCTGTGAATTTATATTGCAATTCATTACATTTTGTACAAATAATGTGATTGCAATTAGGGACAAGTGTATAAGATCTTGAGAATTGATTTTGATAATCTCTGTGATTACATTTTACTCATTTTCCAACAAAATACAAATAATTATTAGGCAAATAAGAAAAATCATTTAACAACCACAGATCAACTACAAATCCAGTATAATCTGAAGCCAAATACATTAAGATTACGACGTATTAGCAAGGTGAAAATAATTACCAGGAAAAGATCTTCATTAGTAGTCAGTACAAAAGGGTTTTTGAGCTTCTTCTAGGCGCTTTGATGAGAGTTGGAACTTGGAGTTGGAACGCTGATGAGAAGAGAATGGAAGAATGAGTGTTCTAAGGAATTAAGGATTTACGATTTTGGCAGCCATTTAGGTTAATTTTTTTTAATTTTTCACGAGTATCTGTGGGTATACCTAACCCCCTCCCCCCCCCCCCCCCCCCCCCCCCCAAAACAAAAAAAAAAAAAAAAAAATGGCTGGATTGAGTACGAGTCGAAAAGAACGGGTTCAAATTTATGGATCCATACCCTGAGTACGGGTTGATCCACGAGTATGGGTCCAAATGTTGGTCTAGTTTTATTTAAGGGTAATATTACACTTACAAAGAATTTACAAAGATCTATATAAAAGTGATGTGGCAAAAAATGAATGGAAGAGTGAATTTAATGAGTTTGTTTCACTCTTTCATTCATTTTTCGCCATCTCAGTTTAATGGAAATTTTTGTAAGATTTCTTTGTAAGTTAAATTAGTTATTGTTTATTTAAAGTTTGCTATCATCCAGAAAGTGTCAGTAATTATAGTTTGTATACATACATATAATTTATAATGAAGCCTTTAAATCCAGCTTGTTACTTTTTCTTTTAACAGAAAAGGCTAACTAGGAAATTATAACAATAAACAATTACCCATATTTGTTTGTTTGTGAATTGATACACAAGGTATATTGGTCTAGTTGTGTTTGTTATTAGGATGGCTGGGATTTTCGGTCGATTTGGTGTTTGAGAAAATGAAGAGCAGGAGAGAAGACATTGAGATTTTAACAATATGGTGTTGGTTTACTGAAATGAATAAATGATTAAAGTCGGTTAATTAAATTCATCTTAGTGTAGAGGAGATTTTTGCTTATCTATGCCCTGTATTGAAATTGTAGTTGATCCTTTTCTTCCCTTTTGAGCCACAAATGAAGTATTAGTCATGTCCATTTTCAAATATATAATTCTAAGGTTGAAACTGATGAAGTAATGTCAGCTCAAGTTTGTGAATTTACATTGACATGGAGATAACTTTTTCAATGTTACAAATAGTTATGGAGAATGGCAAGTGAACTAGTTATTTTTTGAAAATATTATTTGTGTAAGTGTTTGGTGTGTTTTGCATTGGTGGAGAAGTCTAGTGATTGGTTCCTTTATTGAATATGAGACATGCAAGTGGTGTTATATTTAGCAATTTTTAGTAGTTTCATTCATGGACTTGCTGTGGTGTTAAATTGAAGTAATAGGAAATTGTTAAAATAATGTCATTTCATATAAATGATGATAATAATATTCTGTAGCATGTATTTATCAGTAATGCAGTTTTTTAAAACTGTGTTTTGATTTGTGAGGGTGTTTTAAAACTGTGTTGTGTGGGTCGCAAAAGAAAAAGCTTAGAAGAGGAGATCAATCAATATTCGAAGTCATCAAAAAAATTATTGATTGCGATTTCTCATCCTTCTACAACTCTGAATTCGGTTGAAAGTAACCAATTGCAATCTCCAATTGATGAAAGTAACGAACCAATATATGTAGATAGTCCTTGTTCAAGCCCTCTCTGGAATTCCCCTAATGATGCTTGTGGTATTGGTAGGTATAAATCAACTGTATGACTACATTTCAAAAAAGTAAAAGTTGATGGCAAGAAAAAGACAGAGTGTAACTATTGTCATAGACAACTTGTTGGTGGTTTTCAAAATAGGACAAAGCACTTGTATGATCATCGTGGAATTTGTCCAAGGCAAAAGTACCAAGATATAGCACAAAAGATGCTTGCGGTGACCCAAAAAGAGGATTAAGACATTAACCAATTATCATTTTGATCAAGAGGTGTGGACAAAGAACCTTGTAACTGTGATTATTCTACATGAGTATCCTCTTAGTATGGCTGGTCATTATAGGTTTAGAAAATTTTGCAACACTATTCAACCCATGCTCAAGGTTATATCTAGGAAGACTATTAAGAAGGATATTCTGAAGATTTATGAAGTTGAAAAGGAGAAGTCAATGGAATTGTTAAACAAGAATCGGGATAGAATTGCTATCACTTCTGATTTGTGGACCACCAATAATCAGAACAAAGGATTTATGACCATCATAGTACACTTTATCAATAACAATTGGGTATTACAAAGTCGATTAAAGACATCTTCAAATGACTCTTTATATGACTCAAACTCTTTAATATAAAGAGTCTATTCATAAAAATAATTTATCCTTTGAATATAAATTAAAGAGTGAGTTTGATCCTCTAAATCTAGAGAGTCAAATTTCACTCTCTATCATAATTTTAATTAATACACTACAAGTTTCCATACATTTTATTTATTAATTCTTCCTCATATTAAGTTTCTTTTTTGAAAATAAAGAGCATCTTCATTAAATTTAAAAAGTTTATTGGATTTGAGTAAAATTTTTTTTCTTTATATTTAGAAATTAATAAAGATGCTATTTATTTAGATGAAAGA